GCAAAAAGTTGGCAGCGCGGCGTAGGAAGTGAAGGAAATGCCACGCAGCAAAACGTGCTTGAGTCGAATAAATAACAAAACATTGGCGGACAGCAAATGAATTTATGGGCCAAGCCATAGGGTACAAAAGTGAAAAATTTTCAAGCAATTGGATTAGGAAAGGACCAGTGGTTCATCGAGTGGCGTCCGCCTTATAGTCCCGCCGCCATCCTGGCCAGAAATGAGATTAATGATTTTTTAAATGTCTTGCATGGCGGACGTATCCACCCGGGAATCCGAATCCGGATTCGAATGCGAATCCACTCATCCGGAGACTACGGACTCCGGACTCCGTACTCCCTGACTGACAACTGGCAGCGACAATGATGGAGAAGCGGCTCGTCGTTTGTCGTCCTCGTCGAGGGTCCCGTGTGCACATCATTGGGCATTAGGTATGCATGCCGTTGAGCCTCGCACTGCCAAAGATGTTGAGTAATGCTGCTGGAGACAATGAGTACACGGGGAAAAATGCTAGGAGAGTCCGAAGACCAAATGGGAAACCAAACCTACATAGCTATAAATGAAAAACCCAACCAAAATAGCTATAAATGGGAGGTACTTAGCGCCCAAGACAGGGAGTGAGTTCAAACGGTGTACCAAATTAAAGCGACAATGAGAATAACTAATTAAAGTTTCAAAAAATGTATGCATTTATGTAATTTAATCATTTAATCCATTCAACAAATAAATAATAAAGTAAAAGGTAGGTAAACGTAGTTCTATTGAAATAATTCAAGGATTGTTAAGTTACATTTATATGCGTTTATCCGTATCTGCACCATAATCCGTGGTTTAAAATCTCACTTGGTTTCGTTATCCAATTAAAATTAATGACAGTTTTAGGCGACATTTTTCTCCGTGTCAAGGAAACCCTGAAGAAAGAAGGGGAAATGGCAGCCGGGTTCGATAATGAAGTTAAAAATTCCATACATACAAATACAAACGGACAGACGGGGCGGAGGAAAAGAGAGGGAGCGAGAGAGAGAGCGAGACAGAGGAAAGAGAAGGGACAAGGATGCAGTTGTTGTTGCTGCTGCTTCTGTGGCATTTGCCTTTGGTATTTATGAGTACGTTGTCCTTGATATGCCTGCGGAATTACTAAATGTCCCTGACTTGACACTAACTCACACGCACAGCCAGTCAGGACACCCACACCCACACACACACACACACACACACACTTCTCCAGCACTCACACACACACTTGCGCCTCATCAGCCATTCACTCATTCATTCACTGCGAGAAGAGCTGTTGCTTAACTCTGTCAGCAATATGTTTGTTGCCACGCCACGCCCCAAAAGCCCAGTACGATGTACCTTACTTTTTTCGTGCATACTACTACATATATTTTATCATCTACGTGCAGCAATGGAGCCAAGGCGAAATTTAAATAGAAATTGCATGCTGATGATATTTGAAGTAGGTTTATATTTAACTTAATATGCGAGTCTCTCCTTTGCCTCGCCATGTGGGTGCGTATAAATATTTTAATTTATTTTTGCGAAAGCAAAGGCGCCATTAAACTATAAGCATGCCATGTGGGCATACAAAAATTGTAGCAAACTTAAAAACTTCTCGCGCCTAGTGGGGTTTATAACGAAACTAAAGGAATGGTGTACTTTGTTATACAGAAACTAAACGTTTTTATTCAGGCTTCATTATACAGTTAACTATGTTTTTGTGCAAATTGTGATCTATATTTGTGCCCAACAGAATGGCTAAGCAATATACAACATTTGCTGTTGGGAGCTTATCTTGGTCGGGAACTCCTGCCAGATTTTTGCCAAGAACAAGGACCAGCTTGCAGGATGCGTTTGGGGATAGCAACCGTGGCAGCAGCATAATGGTGCAGTTGCGCGAGCTTGTTTGCTTTTGTCACACACTTCGATTCCGTGAGCAAGCATCAGAAACGCGAAATTCCAGCTAAATAAATAAGAGCATACCTGCGGCGGAATATATACAAGTATATCTCCCGGTATATATCCCAGAATCGCTCTAGATAAAGCCACGCCCACGCAGCGTATAAGAAGCTCGAGTGGCAACAAGTGCAAGTGGGCTGATCGGCCAAAAGCAGATAACAAGTCAAGTGGTCTGAGCCACCGTGCAGGTGCCACGATTCTGTTTTTTGTACTGTGGACGGAAAGAAAAATATTTATACCCAACTGGGAGGGAAAATATTAAACAAAGCTGGAACAACAATTTCGGATGACTTAAGTTAAATGCAAGTTGAGCAGATCATCGTTCATATGCCTTCAAATGCCTTTACACTTAAGCAGAAGAACTTATAAAAACTGATGAAATATGTAAGTCCCTGTTTAAATTTGAATTTAACTAAATTTCACAAAGGCCGGGTACATGGTTTAGATTTCTATTGCGCTTAGAATCAGAGGTGTGAGGAACGAAGCCCTGGTTTTTCTCACTGTTACTGCTCTGGAGGAGGAATCAGTGCAGGCATTCGAATGCCACCTGGAGAAACTCGTCTCCAGATTGTGCATGAAATCAAGCAGAATGAGAAACCAATTTGTGTGGAAAACACAAAGGCAACAACAACCATGGCGGGGAAATTAAATTGGCCAAAGGGTTTAAGTTTTGCCACATCTTCCTTCTCCCGACGGCGCTTTGGCGCGCATTTTGAAGGTGAAGTCAGTGGAAAACATTGCTGAAAGCAAACTTTTTATAAGTCGCTGGAAAGTCGATGGCAATAAATTTCATTGGTAACTTTCTACTTTCGTTTCCACTTCGGTCGGGAAGGAATTTTAATACAAACCCAGACGGCGGAGCAAGAGACGGAGAAAGGGCCACAAACATATCTAAGACTTAACCACAAAGAAGCACCTCAAAATTATTTAAACGGAAAAATAGTTAAAGCCCAACTGCAGAAGTTGAGTTGACTCGAACCTGGCTGGTTGCTGGCTGGCCGTCTCCTATGTGGCAGATACACACATAAACAGAAATGAAGCCCCAAAAGCCAGTGGGGAAATCCAGTGTGCATGTGTATGTGTTAGCCATGGCCACTAAACGTGGCCGTCTGCGGCTGAGTGTGCGTCGCAGTGGAAATGCACCCGAATAAACACAAAATTTATATGAACACATGCAAGACAGATTAGGGAGCCAAAACGCAAAAACGCAAACGAGCAAGAAGGGAAAGGGGTCACTGGAAAAATTGTAGGTTGTACTGCCACTCTATCCCCAACAGTTTGTGTACTTTTTGCGGTAGCAAACAAAAGCAAATTTTGTTTTATAAATTCCTTTGGCTCATGGCTTTGGCCTGCTTTATGGCATACTTCCATTTATGCAATTCGAAAACAGGCATCCAAACAAATAAATAAACAACCCGACAGGCACCGAGAGCAACAATTCTGCTTTCCATCTAAGCAAAACATTTAGAATAGCATACTTTTGCGAGCTTTGTCAAAGTTCTTTGCCTGCTGCTTCCGTTTTTTCCCATCAGGGAGAGCGAAACTTTTTTGATTGACCAAAAGGAACGAGGAGTGCTTTCGGTTTTATGGAATTGCAGCGTTACAGGATGCTCAAAAATGCTGCAAACAAAATCGAACGAGGACCCACTGAAATTTACATCCCATCATCGTTACCGCCACAGATGGGTGGCTATTGGGATTGGGCTTCTCCTAAATTTTTGGTCACATAAAACTCAATTGCGTCGTTAAATGTACAAAAATGTGATAAATAATCAAATTACATGCATTTGATGTCTGTCCAGATTTGGGTCTCAACGTTTTACGGCGCTAAATTTTCGTTGATTCTCATTTTTTCCGGCTCTTGCATCATTTATGGCACAATCGCTGATTATTCGGCTCGTAGAGCTGATGCCTGGTGGATTTGCCATTTTTCAATTATAGCCTCAAAGTGGCCTTTGTTTCCTTTTTCGCCGTGTGCGTGCGCTCGTACGTTTTAAATTTCCAATTAGATCCGAGAGCAAACTAATTTCATGCAAATTGCTGGCGAAAAAAGTTGCTTTCCTTGCACGCTTTGCGAAATTTTCTCTGTCGAAATTATGCGTTGAGTAGTTTGCTTATAGCCGGTTTTGCAAAAACGTTCCCAATGTTATTTTTTTCTGCCAAAATTACCGGCATCGTCAGCGAAGTTTTAGCACATGACACGGGTGGATTTCTTTCGCAAATTCCCCACTCTTTTCTTTCCACTTTTCCAATACCCTGAGTGCTGTCATTTAAACAGATTAATGTGCTGCCATCAGCGACATGTCATGTTGAGCGTCTCGTCTCGTTTTGTTCGTCGATGCCATTATGCATTTGATTGGCATTTGTTTGTGCACAGCAATCAAGCCATTTTCGCACAGCCTGCTGGCCAAAACAAAGGCCTGTCAAATCCGACATATGCCGGCAGTGCAATTAATGCTGTTCCAGATAGCCAGGCCTGGTCCACAGGCCTGGTCCACACAGTTAAGATGTGAGTGCGGATCTTTTTAATTAGCCGTAAGTCGATAGCAGCAAAGAAGGGACAAAGATGACGGCTCTTTGATGTGCAAAACACAGGTCACCATGTGCTATGGCATCCCACTTTCCACGACAAGGTCCAGCCGCGGCAGTGGGTGGAGTACGTCAGCATCGGAGGATGGGACACTGGCAGTGGCGGAATGGGTGGCAGTCACCGTCTTGGCGACACTGTCAGTCGGATGTCAGGGGTCCATTTGATACGCCACTGACAGAAAGCACATTTGGCGCATTTTTTCCGCAGGCCCTCTTTCTTTTATTTCATTTCATTTGCCTTTTTTTTCGTCTTTTTAGCCCTGACAGTGAACAAAGTGCCGATCCACCGCTGACAGCTTACAACATTTGGGTGTCTATTTTTGGGCGGCATTTAGTCAAAATCCACGTGATCAAAGGTAAGACACTTAAACACTTGAGTGTTTGCCGCCTGCACTTGAAGTTAATTCTTGTGCAATGTAAAATTACTTAAATAGTATTAAATAGTATGGAAATTGTATTTTTTTAGTTTTATTTAGATTCGTAGTAAAAGCATTTAACTCTTAAAATAATAGTGGGGGAGTTGTGAAAAAATCAAAGTTGAGTGCATGAATTGTGAGCTAAACCAACCGAGTGTATGAGCAATGACATTCTGTTTTCTCAAGTGTGGAGCGATCTCTAGTTGCTAAACATACGCGTACAAACTTATCGCCTAGGTGAGATATATATCTGTATCTATATGCCAATCAATCGCCGCAGCGGGCGTCGCAGCTTTCCTGGGAGCAGAAGCGGTTGCGATTGCCGTTGCATCCTTTGTAGTTGAAGGGCTTGCAGACGCCCTTGTCGAAATACCAGCGAGTAACGACCTTGGTCTTATCCTTGCTGCTGCAGAAGTTGCCCTCGTTGCGGCCCACGTAGCAGTTGACATTGTCTGAAAAGTGCGGATTCAGTGGTTAATCGCCGCCTGGAAATGCTACACTCGCGTCCACGTTTCGGTCGGAAGACTCGACTGGCCTCATTAAGTGCAATTACGCTTGCTTATTCATACGACGCTCGAGGCGGACGACTATATATTTCATAATTCCCTGGCCACGTTGTAGTCATAAGCGGAAAAATAGAACAATTTCGCAGACAAATTTGTCTTTGGCCGGCCGAGGAAAAAATACACGACATGTGGACTAAACTTGGCAACTAGCAAATTGCTTGATTCTTAAAACGTGTGCTCTGCTTGCTATTTACCTACAACAATTAATACATTTTGTAATTTAATTATTATTACGTGGCGAAAACGATACCTAATGAAATTGTATCAAAATTTAATACGCTTGCTTTGAAGGGAAACTTTTTAGCAAGCTGCTGATAATGTTTTAAGGCAATATTAACATTTCGCTGATTAATTGAAATAATAAATGAAATATTGATTGGTATGTTAAACTGAACATATTAAAACTAGAATTTTTAAGTTAAGAACTGCTACACTCCTTCTTCATAGTGAATTGAAACTGTGAAATATTCTAGAGACGATACACCTATAATTATTTAGCTTCAAACTGATTATTGCAGTTTGAATACATTTAAAATGACGCTCTAGTGATTACAATACTATTCGGTAAGGCACATATATTTTATTTTCATTTGTTAGTGGCCAAGTTCCGATCTCCAAGCAAGCACGGTAGTTCCTCAAGTGCTTCAGAAAATGTTCAGCGACATTTCTAGACACTTACTCAGCTCTTTGCACGACACCACTGCCCCATTGCCCGAGGAGCCGCCTCCAAAGGCCTCGACTTGCGCGGTCTGTGTCAGGAGGATGATGGACAGGAGACCGACGAGTGTCGCACGGAGGAACGCCAGATTGATTTTCAATTTCATGTTTTTAGCGCGGCCACACAAAGCGGAATGAGGATGGAGGATGGAGGATGGGAATCGAAGCAGCACCGGGAGCAGCTGTTCGTGGTACTCGCACCAGATGCGAACGGGCAATGCCGGATCGGAGCGTATTTGAAAATATCCGAAACTGAGAAACTGCCGCCGGCAGAGGCTGTTCCAATTTTTCGGTTTTGGTATTTTTAAGTAATCTGCGCTACTTTCGGTGGGAAAAACGTGCCCCAGACTAACGAATCCAAGCGAACCGATGCGAACTCACTGAATGTGGCGCATTTTCGGTCTTCAGCTTATATACGAAATGCCGGAAATTGTTGCTAACTCGAACGCAAGCTATTCGTTCTCATTTCGCTGATAGAGTCGACTACTCGGTAAGTCTTTCGAGTACTGCCAGCTTGACAATCTGCTAGTACGCGTATCCATCCATCCTCCCCAGCAGCCATCCATTCATCCATCCAACCATCAAGCCATCCGTCTATCAGTTCCGCCGATCGGCCAACAGACCGTGTCCATCAATGCTAAGTATGAGAAGATATTTTGGTCAACAAAATGCTCGATGGGGCGATATTGCACTTAGTTTTATCTTTGGGGCGTTTACTCTGCGCTCGTTTGCATAATTTCCAACTTATTGAATATTTTCCACATAATTAATTTTAATTATTTGTGTTTCTTTCAGGCATTTGAATTAATTTAGATAAGAGAGGACCGCGAGGTGGAGTTTTTTCGGAAGGCTAAAAGGCGAAAAGGGTCGCGCATTGCAGTCACAAGGGATGGCTCTTCCATTGTCTCTAATTACAATGGACGGCATTTGTTTTGGGCTCCCCTTTTTTATTCTTTGGTTTATTTCATTTTTGGTTTCTTGGCAAGTGGCTTTGGCATGGGCTCTCGTCTTCTTCCACTTCTCCCTCTCGGCCTTTATTTGCTCCTATTGCTGCGGGTCGGGCGCAAAAATCAATCTTCATTTAAAATTCAATTTAATGCGCTGCGTGCATAAAAGAAGTTACCCAACGCCTTGGTCATCAAGCGTATTGGATTCGCCGGGAGAAAATTAGAAAACAATTGTGTATATTTTTTACGAGCTGACGCATCAAAGAGAATTCGCCAAGCAGTGTCGCATATCCAGTCCAGACCTGACAATGGTACTATTGAGCCCCATTTGGCCTTCTTTTGCTTTAGATACGCATAATGGAGAGCGACTAAAAGACTAAAAGATTGTAAGAAGGAATAATTATTAGGACAGAAATATGGCTTTCATCAACAGTTCCATTTAACTCAGGGTATCTCTATAAGCAAGTATTATTTAACCTTATTTGTTCAGTTTCGAGGAACCCCTTTTTGCAGGAACCCAGTGATGGGTGAATCATGAAAATTACAGCAAACGGAAGCCTGAAACTCGAAAAGAGGATGTGCTTCAAACAGAAATCGGAAGTCTTAGCTAAAAACGGTATCAGGTATTCGGGCCCAGTCGAGTGGAAGAGCGGATGAGGGCACCAGGAACAGGGTTCTCAGGGCTGGCCAGCAGTGCGTATACGTGATGTATCAGCGCGAGTAAATCAATACTCAAATGTGGCCTCCTAATCATTAGGGATTGGGATCGGGATGTCAGGCAATAAAAAAAAAAAGAAGTAGAATCAAAACGGATAAAATTAAAAAACAATGCGAGTGTAAAGCGTGGTCCCTCGGCGAGACTGTCCTCTTGGCCACGTTTCGGTTGTTTCGGCCACAATTTGTGATTTTCCACTTGTTTTGACCAATTTGGCGATTTTGTGATTTGTCCTCTTTAATTTCCACAACATTTTTGGACGCACTCGAGCAAAAGATATTTAATGGCTGCACTTGAACGTGCCGAAGGACAAAACCAACCAAATATATAAAAACGGATATTGTCGATGGAAGGCGGCAGCGGGAGAAGTGATTTGCAGTTTGAAATTGAGTGAAAAGCGCTGACGTTCCACGTATACTGAGAATATTCTATGCATATATTTTACCTTTTGTTGATGCACCTGCCGCCATCCCCTTCTGCCCATCCCCTTTCAGCAAAACCGTTCAGTTCCCATAGTCCTCCACCTTGCGCTACTTGGGAATTATTTTTTTTCTGAATCCGCTTTATTTCTCTTTGCTGTGGAAAAAAGCGAACGAATTTCCCCCTCACTTTGGCCAACCTCAAATTGAGGAAATGAAACATTTCAATGATTTGCTTCCGGCTTTTCCTCTTGCGCCATTCTTTGGGCAGCGAATCATAAGCAGAGAGAAAGAGTTTTGTTTATTACCTTTAAGGCGCTTTGGACAACTTCTTAGCCGCTGCGCAAGAAGTTCAGCCCTAATAAATTATTCAAATTACAACTTTGATCTTCGCCGGGGGAGTGCACAATAAATGCACGAAAGTGCAAACGTTACACTGGGCTGCGCACTAAAACCAAAATTGTCAGTGCCTTGAGCATGGAAATCTACATCTATATTTATTTCTTAAAGGAAATATCAAAAAAATTAAAATTCTATGTTAACTACTAATAAACTAATTACTTTTAATTTTGCATGCAAAAGATAATGGTATTTATCTCTAAACTTATGGAAACTTTAAAAATGGTTAAAAGAATGGTTTGTTGCGCAGTGCTATTGATTTCAGTGGCACGAGTAGCAATTTCTTGCAGTGACACTGAACATTTTGTGAGGCATTTCCCGAACAATGGGGCAAGGACTATGTTCATCGTTTTTACTGGCTGCGCTCTGTTTTTTTAGTTAAAATTTCGCAATTTGCAATAAAAATTCCAGTTTTGCTTTTCGGAATTCAGTTGGAGCGTACGTCCCAGCTAAGCTTCAGATACAGATACAGCTACAGCTACAGCTTCTGCTTTTATATCGGCAACGGCTTGTGGCCTTGCGGCTTTTCCTGCTCTGCCGGCAAAGGAAAGCGATCCGAGATGCGAAAGGATACGCATCCTCCCAATGGGCCGGGCTCTTGCTGAGCTATCAACCGGCAATTATTATGCGTCCTCAACTGCACGTGCCTCATATAATCGGGTTGTGTGTGTGTGCCTGTGTGTGTGCCTGTGTGCGTGAGTGTGTTGTTGTGTTGTGGCTGCTGGGGCGTGCCGACAATAATTTAATATCAAAACATATTTCACTTGCATGCCGAAGAAGCTGAGGAATGCGCTCAAAAGCTTAACGGAGTCGAGCCAGCCGAGCAAGTCGAATGGAGGCGATGAAGCGTTCAACTTGTCCCTTGCCCCATCCACCAAACCGAACCAGACCAAACCAGACCGACTGCTTGTCGCCGTCTCTCTTTTGCCCACTATGCCCGTCTCTTTCCGTGTCGTCTTCTGTGTGTATCGTAATTATTTTAAAGCCACCAAGGAGCCTTGACATTTCCCAAAAATAATTCTGCCTCTGCCACAAAAATGCGGCTTCTCATGTGAAGTTATGGCACGACCTACTGCACCGAAGCCATTTTCTACACTCACAAATAAATTTAATCATAGTATTTAATTTTATGTATATTTTCAAAAATATCAAATGCAATTAAAAACTCAATATTACTAGTTAGGCGCTATTCCATAAAAAGTTGGGTATACCAAAGTTTTGTTTTAATAACTATCAAAATATAAGCCATTATTTTTCAAGTCATTGTTACGCCTTAACTATAAGTGGAATGACAGCTATTATATTTAATTTTACTCAGCACCACGGAAGTTAGGTTAAAAGGTAGTTCCTTGGAAGATAATTCTGCGAGTGTAGTGATGAAAGTATCTGCAAAGGGCGACGCCGATGTTGATTTCGCTCATTTCCGTCTCAAATGGATTTTGATTGTCTGCCCTGACCTCGGAGCAGGATTCGGTCTTGGACTTGGCTGCCCGTGGTGCCTTCTACGTGTCTGCCATTTGTCTGCGCTTATTTTGGCCAGCTCATCCCAGAGCTGCGGACTCGGACAGGCGGCTTCAAAGCAGCAGCCAGCAGCCAGCTGCCAAATGCCAAATGACTTTCTTTTCTTGGCCATTTCCTCGTTTGGCTGTTGCTTCGGGCTCATTTGGTTTTATTGTAATGATTTCTATTACCACACGAGCGTTCCGTGTCTATAGTTTGCAGCTGCACTGCCAACTCCTAGCTCCTAGCTCCTGGCTCCCAATTCCCAACTGCCCACTCCCTGACGCCATTTGCTAGCCCCCAATGGACTGTTGGCAGTTTACGTGGCCATCGCGCTTAATGAGTAGTTATTTCCGTTTGTATTTCTTGATCAACTCGTGCATGGCGCCTGGGCTTTGGCTTTGGTGGCAGTTAGACCTAATGCCCGGCCACGTTCTACCATTAATTGCCGTCTATTCTAGGGCCAGCCATCGTTTTATTAACCTGCTGAACAGTGCTATATAATTGAGTTTATGTCATAATTCCGCGGATGGCCAGTCGCAGTTTTGTCAATGAATTTATGGCATAGTTTTTCCGCGCTCGGCACACTCGGCACAAAGCTTTGATATTTATGACATTCATTTTGCAGCTGTCACAACAATGGATAGTAAGTAAAAACTCTGAGTACGCAGCGCAGAAAAAAAAATGTTAATGTTTTCCGCCATCTTCTGTGTGCACTTTCGAAATGAAAAAGCATAATTAATTTTAATGCGATTTTCCGCTGCTTTGTTTTTACTTGCTTATCATTGCCATCAACGGATGGATTTCATTATGCAGATGATGCGGTTTTGAACAAGGACAGGTCCGATTCATCCTGATCGGAGGACCATTTAAGCGACGTTGTTGCACTTTCATGCACTCGAAGCAGACATGCCCCTGATTCAACCGTTTTAGACACGAACCGAAATTCCTTTTTCAGCAAATTTCAAAGTGTACTAGTACTCGTCGTCGCTGCCGTTCCCAACGCCGATGATTATCAATTTGCGAAATTCGTTTTGGTGTGGAAAATTGTTTACCCGTTTGGCAGACGAAATGAGCGAGTCCTCGTTCCAGTTTTCTTCATTGTGGCGGGTAAATTGAAAACGCAAACAAACAAGCAAGCACACATGGAAATCGAAGTCGTTTGGTTAAGGAATCGCTGGCTTCCTGCCTTTGAGCAGGGAACTCGCGTCACGTTTTCACGTTTCGCCTGGCAGCCAGGATTAATGGTGGTGTAATTTATTGAAGTTT